AAAATCAGCACCAGTGGTCAGTCTAGTGGTAGAATAGTTCCCTGCCATTCTCAGATGTCAATGCCGTGAGACTGAGCTCTTTCTTTTATTATTTGTGCATTCATCTTGAATTTTGTTTATGCTACATATTTTTCCTCCTTATAACAGATTGTTTGCATCACTCTTGAGTTCTTGGTTACGCTTAGTTTATGAATCCTTTTACTTCTAGGTAACATATTTCAGCCTTGTTTGTCCTCTTCTCTGCTTTTTTGTTGCACTCCTTTTGCGTTTGGAGCCTTAAGAGCAATCGCAAAACTTTAGAAATTTGTACATGAGAATAATATGTTGGAAGTAAACTAATAGTGGTATTCTTTTTTTTTCTTTAATAACTAGGTGATTTTCTCGTGCTCATGCACGGGTATAAATATTTTAAAAGTAAAAATATGATAATAATTGATTACTATTTAGTTTTAATTTTAAATTAATTTATAATTTGTATGTATCATTTATATTAATATAATTATATTACTTTAATTATACTATAACTTTTTATATGTTAGATTTAGTCGATTTTATTGTTTTTATGGTTGATTTAGCTATCATTGGATAAATTAGATTGCCTGAATTCAACTGTAATATTTTTAAAATAGATTAATTTTTAATTATTTATTTATTTGCATATAGTGGGTGTTGTCTTAGACATATAAATATATTTTAGGAAAATTATATATAACTTAAGATATATTTTACTTAGAATGAATTAAAAATTAACTAAAGTGTCTAATTACAAAATACGTAAATTAATATAACGATAATATTCGAAAGTCTCATGCATATATATAAATTTTACAAAAGAACTAAAATTGTAAGAGTTACTTAATATTTATTTTCATTTGTTAATATTTTTGAGTTATCCTATGATCAATAGAAGGTTACATGCATAATTAGTTGATACATTTTTTGAAGCTCATGAACACATATCAATATTTACAATAATCAAAATATCTATAAATTCTAAAGTAACTTTATGCTTTAGATTTATTGAATGTAAACTGAAATTTATTTTAAATAATCTTAAAATTGGGAATTCAGATTTGCTTTGATAT